AGGAAGGTAAAATGTCTAGGCCTGTGAATTTGGAGCCTAACGCCCTTCTCCGCACACCACAATGTGCTACATTGCACCATCAATCATCCTACCCATATGATCTTGATCAAACACATCTAGTTAATTAGACTTAGGATCTCGCTCCAACATTTGATTCATTTGACCAAATTATATGCATGATGGTTATGATAATAGGATTCACATGCCTCTATTCTATTGTTTGAACACAAAGCCTAATTACACTTAACAAACCATCTGGCGCTAAACTGACATTTGACACATCATTACTTATTAATTCAAATTAAATTAAAAAATGGTAGGAAGCCATGGAAGAACACATCAGAGTTCTTCTTCTTCTTCTTCTTCTTCTTCTTCTTCTTCATGACACCTCAAATCGTGACTCCATCAAAACTCAACAAAAATTCACAAATAAGCACTCATTCAACTCGTAATCATACAAGGAAACAATCCACACTATTAGTTTTCATTAATATTTCCATATTTTAAAGAATTTTAAGAAATGGCTCAAGAACCCTAATCATGAGAGTCAAAATTAAATGATGATGTTGAAACACAAATGCATATAAGCTTAGGGTTAACGATCAGCATGACATTGCGCATATCTCAGTATCAAGAAATGTAAAAAATGGTGAAGAGTCTTACTTGCTCGAAGATGCTCAACAACGCCAAAACTGAGCTTCTTTCTCCATTTGCAATGATTTGTTTGGCTTAATTTTTGTTGTGTTAGCTTTAGTGGATATAATTCTATTGATCTGGGCGAAGAAAAGAACTTAAATCCTCACGAATCTTCTTGACAGAATTGAGTTTTAGAGTAGTTTGAACACGGTTTGGACAAAGTAATCTTGGCTACCTAAGCTTGAGAATTGCAATGGAGGAACTCTTTATTTATAGAGTGATGGTGTAGAGTTAAGGAGAGAGTGAAATTGATCAGTTTTGGCGTGAATTTGGACGCTTGACTTCACTTTCCATAACCAATTTTGCCAGCTCACCTCTTTGATCCGTTAAAGCTTTTACCCACGTGATTTTTAGTGGAAAATGACTGCAAAATTATTTGTGAATGATCAACAATGATGAGGTGGAAAAAATCTAGAACATTCTCTCATTTTGTCTTATCTGAACTTACTTGTGCATAATGAGTTTTCACACGACTTGCAGCTTGCTCATAGACTCAATTCTCCATCATTTGGGCCATTTCTTATTGCTATACAAACTAGGCCATAATATGGATAAAAAGCAATTGGAATTAGCTTTAATGGATATATGGATTGGAAGCAATGTTGATGTGATCATGGCATGATGGATGTTCATGTAACCCGAGTACACACTTGTATTCACTTGGCCAAATCTACTTGAATCTATTTGGGATGGCTTGGTGAACCAAATATGATGTGGTTTCAATGAAATATGGAAAAGTAATTGGGTATTCAAGATTATGGTTTTTGAACTCATGGATAATGGGTGATTGGTTTGGTTTAGAATGATTCAAGTGTTCTTTGAAATGGATTTTAGACACTTACACTAGATATGGCGTAACTTGGTGTACAATGGTTCAAATTCCACAAACTTGGTACCATTGGAAAGATCTCATGACAAGGAACAACTTTCATGTTGGGACTAGAGAAAATGCTTGCAGGCTCAGATACCATGGTGCAAAGTCAAGGCTTCAAAACTGTCTTGACACTTAGAAAAATTCTAAGTATTTAGGTCATTTCACACAAATTAAAACCTCCACTTTGGCTCCAACATTCTTCCACTTATAGATTTATTTTGAACTCAACTCTTCCATCATCATGTAGTATCAAATGCAAGCTTCAATTGCAGCCCTTGTTTGCCAATTTTAGTGCACAAATGAATGAGATTTTGTCTTGTAAAATTGACCAAGTGAACACGATCTTTGACACTTAGAAAAAAAATTCCAAATTCACCATCCTTTCACTTCTTCATACTTCCCTTTATTTTCAAGGTTTCTCTTGATGATACTCATCCAACTTCCGTATCTTCTTGAAATTTGACTTGAAATGTCCATGGTTGACCAAAAACTCAAAAGTCAAACTTTGACCATGAGCACTTTGTTGACTTTTTGTAGATGAATCAATCCCCTTCAAATATCATCTTGAATCAACTTGAATTACTTTGAGAAGGCCAATAAGATACATCAATAACCCTTGAATCATATCTTAAACCAATGGAAATAAGTTTTGGTCAAAAAGTCAACCTCAAGTTAACTTTGACCAAAACCCTAATCTTGAGCAAAAGAACTGGTAAACCATCTTGTACAAATGAAATGATGAAACCCTAATCACTTGATATGGAAGTAGAGCATAAGCTTGATATATGGAGAACCAACCAAACCTTTTCTCAAAGCAAACCTCAGTTGAAACCATGATGAAACCCTAACTTGATGCTTCTTGAGAAACCTTAAGGAACATGACTTGATAAGTTAATGAGTCTTGATGAATGCCACAATCAAATGAATCACCTTTGAAGATAGGGAAAACCAAAATCACAAGAAAAACTTTGATTCCATGCCTTGAGAACTCAATGAAATGCATGATTATGGATATTATGACCTAGTGGAGGATGCAATGAATGTGAAACACAAGCCAATTAAGGTTAGAAATAAGAGGGAAAATTTTGGGTGCAACCATTGCAGGTTGACGTTTGAAATACATCCTCTTTTTATTCTTATTTCAGAGGTTTGGCTTGAAGTCTCTTGGCCCTTCCCTTTAACTGCTCTTCTAGCAGCCATTTATGAAGATTTTGAGAAAATATGAAACTTTAGGATTTTGTGAGTGTTTAGGTTGTGGTGGCGCGGGTTTGATTGTATGAGCGGGGTAATGATGCCTTTTTGTGTGGGTATGATTTTAAGTGGTGTGTGTGTTTGATTTTTATAGGTTTGTGTGAGGTGGTTTTAATGGAGTTTTAGGATTTTGTTGAGACAAAGTGGGAGAAGATGGATAATGAGTTAGAGAGAGAGAGATGTCTAATTTTTGGGGATAAATAATGTTATTTTTGTGTTTATAGTGGTGAGGAATTGATTGGGAATCCCACTTAAGATTGGAGAGGAGTTAGAAAGTAAAAAATCACCTATCACGATGACCGATAGTGTGCATTACAACCAGCCGTAACGTTGTCAGGCTTTTTATATGGGGCGTGTGGCGATGGGTACTAAGGGCATGTGGCAAGGCGTAAAGGGTGCTACAACTCGTAGCAGGCGCTATGACCAGATCGTAGCCTCCTTTGGGTTTTACTACTGGTTTTTTTTGGGTTTTCTAGGCGGGCTTCATTACTAGCGATATTACCCACTATGCGTAGGTCGTAAGAAGCCCAAGTTTTTGCGTTCTTAGTTTGGTCTTGATACTTTTGGCTCGTTTTTAACATTTTCCTCATTCTCTTTATGCATCTTGGCATATGTTCTCTCTTTAACTTTTATTTATGACCCCCCTCATTGTCAAGTGAGTTCCTATTCTTCATTTACAAAAAATATAAAACACATAACATACAAAGATATTAGTAATTAAAAACTACTAGTTACCTCCCACACAACTCTTGTTTAAAGTCATTAACTTGAATTTACCTACGTAAATCCTTCAAGGGGACTCTTTAAGAGTGATACATAAAGATGGGTCATTCAATGGGTGTTTTGTAATCCGTTCACTATGCCCAAATTGCATCTTCAAGTTTTGTGGTCCAGTCTTTCCTAAATAAGGAGAATTTATTTTCAAATATAGCTTTTATCTCAATATTAAAGACTTTCATCTTGGCCACTTGTCTACATATGGTAGAGTGTTGTCACTATGTGTTTATCCCCTTATTTCTTCAAGAGGCTTTTAAATTGTCTGACATTGAAGTGAGATCCCTCATCGCTAATTACCAACCTAGGCACCTCAAACATTGAGAAAATTATTTTCTTAAACAGTTTAGTAGAAGGGGCAATTGCCTCAATCCATTTTAAAAAGTAATCAACCGCCACAAAAATGTATTAGTTTTTCAAAGAAGAAGGAATTGACCCCATGAAGTCAGTCTCACATACATTGAATATCTCCACTTCCAGAATGTTATTTAATGACATCTCATTTCTATTCGAAATATTGCCAATGTGTTGGTATTGTTCACATTTTTTAATAAAAGATGTCAAAAAGTTAATGTGATTTGAATTCTATCGACATTTTTGTATAGTTCATAATAATTTAAAACTTATGTAAATATATCTCTTACGTTGTTAAAAAGCAAATAAAAAAAAACTATCAATTTAAAAAAAAATCAAATATACCAATTTTTTCAAATATTAAATGTATCAATTTTTTCAAATATCCGATGTACCATGTTTTTCAAATATTTGATTGAATATTTTTCAAATCATCAATTATTTTTTTTAAAATACCGATATAATCTATATAAATTCCTCCAACTTTTTGAAATATCCGAAATGTTATAATATATTTTAAAAAAATCAAGAATAGTCACATTTACTTTTACAATTTCACTATTTTTATTCAAAGAGTACTTTGATCAAATCACCGAAAGTGTGGGGTGCAAGATTAATTAGGGGTGAAAGATTAAATCATGTTCAACTTGTGAATGTAACCAAACTAGCATGTAGCCCTTTACCAAGGTGCAATAAAGCCCACCAAAAACAAAACACAACCTTAAATTCTTCGAAACACGTGACAACAACATGACATCAAATCCATCATGTAACCGCAAACCTTACACTTCAATTGCAGCACTCAGTTTCGTCGATTAATCCATCCAATTCAATTTAGATTCTAACAAACAAGTGATTAACCATCAAATTCACTCATGATTCCATGTGAGTATTCATATTTTTGAAAATCAATTCTAGATAATCTCCCTTTCATTTCAATGATCAATTTGATTATATGCCATTGACCCTTTATAGTTTACTCATCCTCTATCAAGAAATTTTGATCAAAATTTGATCTTTTTCCCTTCCTGCTATAAACCCCTTTTTCACCATGTTGAATAATAATGGATACAAATCAAAGCAACGTAGTAGTACTGCTAGTGGTTACATTTGCAGGATCCAAGTACTTGTTATGTCTTTTACATTGATGCTAATGCTAGTGATTCTCTTTTTAGTATTTGATAATGTTCATGATAATGATAATCATGGTGTCAAAGTAAAAGTAAAACCAAGTTTAGCTTATGATTCTCATAAGCAAAAGTGGAATAGCTTTGATTCTTTGGTGAAATTGCATCCCACAAGAGAGTTCAGGAATGGAACAGATTTGATATGGCAAGTACCTGAATCACCTAAAGGTGTTCTTTTTCTTGCTCATGGATGTAATGGAAAAGCCATTAACTTTTGGGACAAATCGTCTGAATGTCCTGATTGTGTCGGTTTGCCTGAAGAACGGTTGCTTGTACTTCACGGTCTTGCTGAAGGTTTTGCTGTTATTACTATTTCAAGTGCGCGTAGATGTTGGAGCTATGGAAATAATGAAGTGTTGATTGTTAAAGATATACTAGAATGGTGGATTGGTGAGAGGAAGCTTGAGAAACTTCCTCTTGTGGCTTTAGGTGCTTCGTCGGGAGGATATTTTGTATCTTTGCTTGCAACTGCTAAGAAGTTTAATAGTATTGTGCTTATGATTGCTGAAGGGATGTTTGAAGAAATAGATATTGAAAAGGATTATCCTCCTACCCTTTTTGTTCACATGCCTAAAGATTTTTATAGACAGCGGAAAATTGATGAATATGTTGAGGTTTTGAAAGGTAAAGGGATTGATGTTGGTGTTGTTGAATGTATGGAGTTTCCGTTGTCGCCAGATACTTTAATCGATAGGATTCCAGGTATGGATCAACATCTTTCTAGAACTTTGTTTGAAGTCTTTAAGGAAAGGGGATTGATTGATCGAAATGGATATATGAAGCAAGACGGACGGAAAATAAACTGGCGAAAGGTTATTCAGGAGAAGATAAATCTCGATATTGATGAGCGTTTGGTTCCTCATGTCCAGGAAGAGCTAAACCTTGCATTTGCTTACCATGAGATGACAAGTGTGCATTCCGACCGGATTTTTAAATGGTTTAAATCTCATTTGAGCTGATTAGATTTTGCAATGCTCTTTGGTGTTTAAATTTCTGTTTGACTGTAAAAAATCTATAGCATATTGACATGTATTTCATTGAAAGATGAAATCAGTTTTATTCAAAGAGAATGAGGACCTATCTTTTTGTTCAATCTCAAGGGCTAGAATTTCTCAACTATGTAATACTGCCAGAAGTTATTATCAATTGAAAAGGTATGATCTGACCTTTTATACCAAAACCATTTGTGCTTTTGCAAGTAGCTTTTTGTATGTTATCATAGATTTTGTTATTATTGTGATCTTTTTCTGCCATATTTTTTCTTTTGAGATTTGAATCAATAGTTTTGGACTTGGTTAAGCTTTTAAATTTGGAATTTTGGATGCATTGGTGGATTTGTATTTCAGAATTCTCTACATAATATGTTTGTGAAATTACAAGCCTAACCTGCCATCTATGAAGCACAAACTCTGACACAAACACCTTACATGATACAGACACAGACACATTGACACTACTAATCTAAAAAACATAGGACATGGACACCACCACATATATGATAATATTTAACCTTCATTTAGCCATCTACTATTGGAAAAGTTACAGATCGACACCGCTAATCTAAAAAACATAGGACATGGACACAACCACATATATGATAATATTTGACCTTCATTTTATCCATCTACTATTGAAAAAGTTAAAAATGTTCTAATTAAATTTAATGTTTTTAACTCTTCATTGATCCACATTGTTTCAACATACCCTTAACCCTTTTAGGTGTATTTGAGATTTGTCATTTATAAGGTTTGTCAAAGCAAAGAAAGAAACAATTTTTAGGACACTCATGAATTATTGTCCAACACGCGTTGTATGAATGTCGGACACCGATTTAAAACAAACAATATTTTTTGGATACTTGTCAGGATTTTCCGACACACGTCGTACGGGTTTCATACAAGTGTCGATTACTGCAACATGCTTAATCCTAGAGGTGTATGTGCTTCATAGCTTGCTATTGACTATGCTAGGCGTGATTTACTACTTGATTAGTATTCTTATCAGAACAATAAACTTATCATTCTTGTTCCATTTAATTCCATTAGAACAACGAATGGAAACTATTTTCAGCTTCTTGGCTTCCATCATTAAACACCCAAACAATGATATGAAAACATTATTTCAATTCATGCATTTCATTACTATTTACCATTCTAGAAATATAACCATTCTACATGAACTTGTAGTGTATGTTTCTATGTCTTTGTGTGCATAAAAAATGAGAACAACTTTTACGACTCCATAAATTTGTAAAAAAATCTCACCTGGTTCGGTCAGTGTTTTGTCTACATCTGAAGTGATGTTGAGGTGCGTGGAAAGTTCATCTCTTAAAAGTTTATAAGTATTTTAATTCATTTTTCCAAATGTTTTACAGGCCCACATATGGAAGACTTTTTGTTTCATGTTTTGTCATCTTCGTAGTTATGTGCACATTTCAATGTCGAGTAAAATTAATGTTTGTGGTCAGTTTTGAAAAGTTTTTTGAAATGCTTTATGATCCTTTTGGTTTTAGAATTGATTACTTTAGATTTATGAGAGAAACATTAGAATATTCTACAAATTGATTGATTGAGTTGTTTCTTAACTAATAACCTATGAAGCACGGACACCTACACGACACTGACACGTCGACACCAGTAATAATCGAAAAAGATGAATATATTGAACAAATTCACAAGTGTTGATGTCATGTCGGTGTTAGTGTCCGACTTAGACACGTACACACCTTTTTTCAGAGATGTCGGTGCTACAAAACTGATAACGCTGGTGTTGATGTCATGTCGATGTCAGTGTCCGACTTAGACACGTACACACCTTTTTTCAGAGATGTCGGTGCTACAGAACTAATAACTTCTGTTAAATTGTTAACGACAAAGTATTTTGATTTCCTAGATTTTAGTATATTCAATCCACACAATGATTCTTATATTGCATTACTTGTGAAGACTACCACTAGTACCATCTTTTTATAGGGTTTACCTACCATTATAATTGTTCTGAACCAAAGGACAGCCTTGTACACCTCTTGTTAAGGCACTTAAAATGACATTAATTGATCACATGGACCTTCAACTCTTTCATGCAAGGGCAACCTTGACAGCATTTTGGATCGTCCATGTGTTATCTTTTTCTACACACAGATTCATCACCAACCACAAAAAAATGCATTGTATTTCACAAGAAACAACAATACTAGACACTTCACAATAAATGTTGACATTTGCACATGTTTGCATGTTTCCCCCCAATGATGTTCATGTTTGCATGAACAATCATCTTTTCTAGACTACCAGAGCTACTTTTCTGGGTTGCTCTTTATAGATAAAAGCCAGTTTATTTTGAAAGATTGTCTTGAATTTAACTTTCTTTCATATATACTAACGATTTGTACTCGAGTCTTCTGAATCGAAACTTGAACTACGAAAGCAACGGAATATTAACTTTATTCAAAACTGAGAAACCATATATAAAAGCTAATTAACACTGAATCCATGATAGGGTAAATTAACACATGATAAGTAATTAATTACCTAATGCAAAACACTCTTAGTAGAAGTCTTAGATATAATAATATACTAACTTAACCGAACTCGATAAACTGATACATAAAACAAACTAATAAGGTCATGCTCTAGGCTTCATTCTCCCCTCATTGGCCATCCGGAAGAGATTGGCTTGTGTTGCTGCAACCTTATTTGAGCCAAGTGATGCTATGAATCTGTCTCTGACTTGCTCGGTTGTGTAAGGGAACTTGTTGTTCACCAAGGAGTTAAGATAGGAAGCTGCACCTTCTCTGTATAGCGCTCCAAGCCCGTCGGTTCTTGTGTTGGAAAGTGCTTGTGGAAGGCTGAGGCTTGATCCTAATCCGGGTACGCTGGAAGTACCGAATGCGCTGCCTAAGGTTCCCCACCAGCCTAGTAATCCCCAGATGATTTGTGGGTGATTATTCCAGTAGCTGCAGTTTTTAGGAAAAAAAGTCCGAAAATGTTATTTAACAGTTATAAATCCAAAAATGTATATTTGCATGGATCTAGAACATGCTTAAGGTTTTACATTAGAGTGGAGTATAGTGGAAGGAACTTACTTGCATGTACCAGTGAAGGGAGATGGTGCAGGAAGGTAAGGTGGTGTGGAGAAAGTGGGGGTGCCAGGATCGGTTGGGGTGCTTCCGCCATAAGTTGGTGGGCTGGAGTAAGTGGGAGTGCCAGGATCGGTTGGGGTACTTCCGCCATAAGTTGGTGGTGAAGTGTAGTAACCTCCTGAGGGAGGGTTTGATGGGGTTGTTGGGGTTATAGGGTCTGATGGTGGTGAAGTGTAGTAACCTCCGGAGGGAGGGTTTGACGGTGTTGTTGGGGTTACAGGGTCTGATGGTGGTGAGGTGTAGTAACCTCCGGAGGGAGGATTTGACGGTGTTGTTGGGGTTACAGGGTCTGATGGTGGTGAGGTGTAGTAACCTCCTGAAGGAGGGTTTGATGGTGTTGTTGGGCTTGTAGAGTCAACTGGTGGCGGTGTTCCACAGTCGCTAGTTGGGGGTGTTGATGGAGTTGTTGGTGTTGGGGTGTAACTTCCACTACCATCTGATGGTGGTGATGTGTCGGGAGTTGATGGGGTTGGCGTGTAACTTCCACCACCAGATGGTGGTGATAAGTCGGGAGTTGATGGGGTTGGGGTGTAACTTCCACTGCCATCTGATGGGGGTGAAGTGTCGGGAGTTGACGGGGTTGGAGTGTAACTTCCACCACCAGATGGTGGTGAAGGGTCGGGAGTTGTTGGTGTTGGGGTGTAACTTCCACTACCATCTGATGGTGGTGATGTGTCGGGAGTTGACGGGGTTGGAGTGTAACTTCCACCTCCAGATGGCGGTGAAGAGTCGGGAGTTGTTGGTGTTGGGGTGTAACTTCCACCACCACCTGATGGTGGTGATAGATCGGGAGTTGACGGTGTTGGAGTGTTACTTCCATCCTCAGGTGGTGACGGGGTCGGATCACAATTTGGAGGAGATGACGGTGTTGGATCAGAAGGTGTTGACGGAGTGGGAGTTGATGGCGTTGGAGTGTAACTTCCACTACCCGAGGGTGGTGACGGAGTGGGAGTTGATGGTGTTGGAGTGTAACTTCCACTACCCGAGGGTGGCGACGGGGTGGGAGTTGATGGCGTTGGAGTGTAACTTCCACTACCTGACGACGGCGGTGATTTTCCATGACCATGATGGTGAGGACTATGACCATGTCCATGACCATGACCATGCGACGGCGGAGGACTACTGCTACCACAACCACCTCCAGAGTGATGAGGTGGTGGACTATGTTCACCTTCAACAATTCAAAAACAACATATTACACAACATGCGAGAACAAAACAAACCAACTATAACAAACATAATAAATAACATACTAGTCTATGTAGCTTTCAAAAAATACTTCAAAATATTTCAAAAAAAGTGTAACAAAGATATCAAAGTTAGAGAATTACATAACGAACTCGATAAACCCGACGGAGAACTTTCTGCATGAGCCACTGGAGTGAACTCATTTTCCCCTTCCTTAACACTGTCTGCTATAACAGAAACAACAAGGTTCTGAGAAACCAATGCAACCATCATTACAAACATGGTAACGGAACCAACATTGCTTCTTTTTCTCTCCATTTTCACCACCTTGTTAAAACTCTCAGAAAGAAAAGAGAGAAAGTATGAAGAATAAGTTGGTCTAGAGAAGTGCTTATAAAATGGTTGAAGTGAGTGAAGTAAATATTAGCAGGTGGAAGAGTGTGAGGGTTAGTTGATATTTTGCAGGGTGCATTTACTCCTATATTTACAATTTTACATTAACTTTCTGCAATAATGTATCACATTTCTAAAATAGTGTAAAAAAATACATTTTGCATGAAATTGAGCTGTGAATGTGTCAGTACATTTTCCTTTAAACACTAACCTTGTTTCTTGTGTTGATCACAGCTTAATTTTCTTCCTTTTATTATTTTTTTTACAATGGTCCTAACATTGGTTATAAATGTAGCATTGGTAGTAGGCATGTAAATAGTACTGTTATTTATAGTGATGCATGTTATACTCATTTTCCAACTGCTGTTCACTGTTTGAATTTCAAGTCAACAAAGTATAGAAAGAAATGTAACTCATACACAATGGTTAGATAGTGTTCCATTTTCTTAGTGAAAAGCAATATAGTTTAAATATGTGGTGTTATTTTCAATGTTTATTAGTGAAAAATCTGTTTTATTCTTTTAATGGATCAATGATAAATATTTGTCTCATGATACTTTAGTTTATTGATTACAAATATATTTCTTTTAAGGGTCTTGCTAACTAGTGCCCTCAGGGCACTATTTAAATATTCCATATTAAGAAATTATTCTTTAAAAAATTCAAACACTTCAATTTTCAATGCACATTATTACACATCATTGCACATACTTTTATAAAAACTTACTATTTAAAGTTTTAAAAAGTGTCCTGAGGGCACTGGTTATCATTTCCCTTCTTTTAATAATCTAACAACAAGAGTTTGTTTCGTATTTACTTTATAATATTAATCAGAATATCGACATACTTTTAAGTTTATAAAAAGTGGAAAATGGTGAAACTTCCGTTTTAAGTTGGAACACCCCCAATATGTGTTTAGAATTATATTAGTATAATATTAATAATTTTTTAAAATTATATCAACATACTTTTAAGTTTATAAAAAGTGGAAAACAACGGGTGCCATATCTAGATAAAGGAAGACATATATTTAGAAAACCAAAGTAAAAAAGGTGCAAGGTGAGACCCGCCACATATATAAATGTTCCCTCTTGAGATGATGACATGTGTTTCATAACGTGGAAAATCGGGCGAGAACAAAATTATTTGGGCCGAGATGATATTCACTGTGAAACTCCTATTATAAATTGTGATACCTTTCTAATATGTGTCTAGAATCATATTAGTAGAATATTAATAATTTGTTATCAAGTACATACAAAAGTCAAACAATAACATAGCAAATTGTATACATTTCCAAAACTACGACGAGTAAGTATATAACTTGTATGTCTTCAAGGATTGCACATTAGAATAAGATCAAGTATGGTCTTCAATGTCATATGAATACCCAAGTCTCAAATCCACACCTTCTAGTGAATCCTTTCAACTTCTATAGCATACTTGAAAAACAACAGTAGGATTGTAGTAAGATTACTTAATCTTAGTGAGTATGAGTGAAAAATAGCGGGTGAGAGCAAAACTATTCGGGCCGAGATGATATTCATGGTGAAACTTCTGTTGTAAGTTGTAACACCCCACCAATATGTGTTTAGAATCATATTAGTAAAATATTAATAATTTGTTACTAAGTACATACAAAAGCTAATAAATGATAGAGAAAACTCTATACATTTCCAAAACTACGACTAGAACGTATATAACATGTATGTCTACAAGAAATGCACATTGAAATAAGATCAGGTACGATCTTCAGTGCCATTTGATTACCCAAGTCTCTAATCCACACTTTCTATTGAACCTTTCAACTTCTATAGCATACCTGAAAAACAACAATAGGATTGAGGTGAGATTACTTAATCTCAGTGAGTATCCCTATTTTATGCCTCCTTTTAGCTCTACAGGGTACATAATCTTATTCGGATCACACCATCGATTCGTCGTTTCCTTACTTATCATATTCTGGAATACACAAGTAATACATACCACTTAATTAGGAGTTCTTTGACCATCCAATTTTGTAAACGTCAAATCCATTCCGAAGTTAGTGTCAAACAATTATGCATACTCGTAATCGCGTACTGAGTGAATTTCGGAGTAATATCCTCCTTTCTATCTAGGCCACATAAGCACACTTTTTGTGAGTATCCAAGTGTGTAACTCCAAGAGACTACACAAGTCTCCCCGCTCGATGAATCAGGTGAATATCCAAGTGAATTGCACCTACATGGCTACACAAGCACACATGTGGTGAGTATCCAAGTGCACATTGCCCATATGGCTGCACAAGCACACCAATCGATAACACAAGTGAGTTACCAAGTGAAACACGTCTACATGGATACACAAGCACACCAAACAATAACTCAGGTGAGTATCCAAGTGATTTACGCCTACCTGACTACACAAGCACACTGGTGGTGAGTATATAAGTGAGTAATATGCCTCTTCAGCTCCCACAAGCACACTAATCAATAGCTCAGGTGATTATCCAAGTGGTTTACCACCTAATAGCTTAGGCCCACTCCTTCATTCAAGTATACCAAATGAAATCATATCCGAACATTCAACTGGAACAAACAGACAACGGGGAAAGAAGTGGAAAGACGTCGAAGTCCCCACTATGTTATAACTCTCTATGTTAGATTTATAACGCAAAAGATGACATCCCGTTCTAATTTACGGAACTGAAACTGAATCACAAATGATGTTGGGGGAAATTTTGCACTAACATGCTCACTTAGCGACACCAGAGTGAACCCCAAGTGAGCTCAGAGAGAAAGCTTACATTCCCCTAAAACAACATGCTCGCTGAGTGAGCTATTTCTTGCTAGGAGTGAAATCAACAACCCATAAATTCCCAGGCTTATAAAGGCTCGCTGTGTGAGGCCTTCTCTCGCTAAGCGAGTATACCAGAATTTCCAGAAACTAGGACACAAAATTCGCAACCATGCATACACCAAGCATGTCAAGAAAGGCAAGAATCATGCATCTAACCATGCACAAGGAATAACATTACATTGACATGTCAGTAGAGCAATTCAAACTTAGCTTTAAACATGCAATCAAATATGAACTCATCACATATCATAAACTATCATATAAACACAATATTTAATCATTATAAGATAGATTATTGGACTAGTTTTCCAATGCATTTGTCTGCATCTCGTTTCGAGTTACAAAACTCAAGATACACTAATTTCAATGTCACAACAATTTTATTCGTATCAGTAGGGCTCGCTATGCGAGCAGATTTTTCTAGGCGAGGATTGCTGAAACTTTTCATGAAAAACAATGTTCTAACACCACATTCAGCACCTAAATCCATCATCAATCCATACCTAACATATACTAACATGCTTAGGGAGCAAAAAACACCGAAAAATCAACAAATACAAGTTCAATAATCATACCGTTGAGATGATTTCAGTCATTTTTACAAAACCCGACATGAACATGCAATTCAGCCCCAAATCTACCCAAACATCTAACTAACGAAACCCACCTCTTGCTAAGAATTTGAATTATGAACTCGCTCTTTGAAAGAGATGGAAATGCTGGAAGATATTGAGATCACAGTTTGGCCTTAACCAATTCACACATGCAACCTCTTAATGATGAATTCTTGAACTCCTTCCTCCTCATTCTTCTCAAACTCGTTTCCTTTCTCTTTCTCTCCCACCTTCTCATTTCAACATTCTGATTTGGTAAAGAGAAGGAAAAGAAAAATGAGGTCTTACACTTGAATTTGAGTTTAAATATAAGGCTTAGAAATGTCCATAATACCCTTGTCTCCCAAACATTTTATTGATGATTGCACTTTGCCTAATCAACCTCTAACCATTATTCTTAATTCTAATTTTTTTTTTACATAATTAGGTGGTTAGAAACCTAGGGTATTACATCCCCCTTAAATTAAAATTCATCCTCGAATTTTTTCGATCAAGGGTGGCATACTTCTTGCATTTCAAATCTGGATAACCCGCGACGTTGTTAGCCTGCGACACTTATTCCAAGTCCTAGTGTGTACTACTTCAACTTGCACAAATATCCTCACACTTGAGCTTTGAACTTTCCTCTAGAGGTGATCTTTATTCCTTCACGATTTCTCGAATCCTTCTTGGTCTAACCATCCTTTATTTCCGATCCTTGATTAACTCTTAACTTCCTATAACTTACCTCTTCTGATGTGCCACTTTGATTTATACCATTATGAATTATTTCAGAGCCCAAAATCCTTCCTTCCTCGTACTGAGTCTACAAAGCTTCATAATTCCCTACACTTTCACATGTTTGATTATTCATCGTCTTTAAACTTATTCTGGCCTGCCATCGCTTGCTCAAACTCATGCCACTGATTTCTTATTTCTTTCCTCATGATTCCTTGGGCTACTTCCAATATAAGAAATTTCTCGCTAACAACTTCCCATCTCCAACAACTTTTTTCTGTATTCACTTCCACACGAAACCCATATAGAGTCATATCAATGCTTGATAAGTCCTTTGGTCTTGACTGCCGAGTCTCTGGTGATCAAGATGATTGGATCCAAGTTCGCCTTCACTGCGTAATAAAAGCTTTCATATTCGATCCCTCTTCGGTTCTTGGTTGGAACAACTAACGCTAAACACCATAAGATGGTACGATCTCTACAACGAACAACCCTGATAGTTTAACAACCCCATATGTAGTCATGTCGTTGAAGAATGAGCTATTATGGTTAACCTGCACATGTCACTCAATTTTCATACAAGCCCACTAAGTGCATAAGGCATAACTGTAGCAGTGAAAAATCAAAGATTAAGCTATTGATTAAGTTCACTCACAAAGCAAGATTTGTCACCGCTCTTTATTGTTTCCAAAGGAATGAGAAAATAACGAACAAAACCCATAGAAGTTTTAAAACAAAACTAATAAAACAAAG